AAAAAAAAAAAAAAAAAAAAAAAAAAAAAGAAAAGAAAAGAAAAATAATAGACTGGGTCACTAGTGCTGAGCACCTCCTGTGGGTTAGGAAGTTTCCTCCCTAGGCGTTCACACGGTCTGTTCACCACCACAGGGAACTCAATCAGGACCCAGCTCCTCTATGGCGCCGAGGACAGGAGATTCTCTGCTGGGCGCCAGCTTTCAGCTGCACAGGTCTGCGGGGAGGAGGGATGGGAGGAGGAGGACTTGCACAGGTTCCCAGGGAAGTGGGTGCCATGGGTCACACTTTGAGAACCACTGCTTGAAGGACAGAAAGGAAAGAAAGAAAGGCAGGACCGTGGGGTTGAATGTGCCAGCGGGCGCTGGTGACACAGCAAGGTGACCAGTCTGTATACTGTTTCAAGAAAACAGATGGAGGGGTCTCTGTCCCGAATCAGATCTGGTAGGTTGACGGTTAAACCAAAAAAGGCAGAACTACTCTGTTACTCAGAAGAATCCCAGGAGACCTGGGTTTGTTCGTTTACTTGACAAATATGAAGTGCCCAATCTGTGCCAAAGTTGCTGCTAGGCAACAGAGGCTCGGGCACTGCCAAAGGTCATATGAGAGCCTGGGTAGGTCACGGCCCCTGCAGCCTCAGTTACTGGCCTGTAAGGAGGTGACCGGCATTCGGGGCCCCGCCTAACGTTCACACTGAAAAGGAAAGCCGTCACTGCTCAAAGCAAAAACACCCTGCGAGCTCTCTGGGCAGCACGATGTGACACAGGAGTCTTGTTGCCCCAGGGGACACCTGTGACAGGGAAGAGGACCCGGCAGCAATCTGGGCCCCCAGGCCCGGATGGTCAGAGTCCAGTCCAATTCCCCCAGTGCCCCAATTAAAGGTGCGGCCAAGGTAAGTTAGCGCTGCGCCCGCCCGTACCGACTGAAGAGCACAAAACGGCGCCTCAGAGCTGCGCCGGTGAGTGGCTCTCCCACAGACGGTGGCATTCATCACTCCAGGGCTGGAGGGACCGAGGGCTGCTCCCAGAATGCGGGTGCTGTGATAGCCTCCTCGCCGGGCGGTCGTGCTTACAGCATTCCTGCTCTGAATGCCAAGCGGGGGCGGTGGGGCGAGGCGGGCAGCCCATGTGAAGGGCACCGCCGGTGACTCTGCTGTCACTCCTGCGGATCCTGGGGGCGCGCGACACGTAGGCTGTGGGTCTGAGAGGAGGGCACGGCCAGACTTGAACAGAGGCCAGCTCAGTGAGAGCAGAGCCACCCTGAGCCCAGGCACGCGTGATGTTACAGCTAAACAGGGTCCAGGAGGGTACCCGGGCCGGGCATACCGCCACGGCTCAAGTGTAAGACCAGCCGGGTACGATGAATAAAGGACTTTTACATATAAACAAATAGCATCCTCTCAGTCTTACATATGACATAAATAGAAGCAAATTCAGAAAACTATGTTTGTCCCTCTAACACATAAAACTTAACTAAAAACAGCAGAGAATATTAAGACAAGTCCCCAAGTCACCCCAAATGCTGCTTGGAAACCTTCCTTAGATGGAATCCAGGAGCCGCTCCGCACCCTAAGAGAAGGAACGGTGTCCTTGACTCTACCCCTCCCGCCCAGCACATCCCGTCAGTGAGCCGACCCGGAGCTGGACGCTAACCGGTACCTGCTGATACAGTAAGGGTGCGTCCAGCCAGCCAGTCAGCGCTGCAGCAGCAAGGCCATCCCCAGGCCGGGCTGTTCCACCTGCTCCTGGTAACGAGTCCCGCGGGCTTATTACCACAGCGTCAGCCAGGGAGTGCAGGGACGAGCGTTTAAGTTTCAGCTTGCGCTCGTGCTATCAGGGTCCCGACCTGGGCTGTGCCCACGTACGTGTCCTGTGATGTCACAGGTGGCAGTCATCTCCCAGTGCCAGTGTCCTCCCTGTGGAAGATCTGTGTCGACGGGCTGCCCTACTGCAGATTTAGGATGTTTAACTGCCTTCTCCAGCCCAACACAAGAGGAACATAGACATGGTTACTTTAGTTCACAAAATTTATCAAACGCTGCAATGATCCTGGCCTAGGTAGCAGCACAGGAAGGCTTGGAGATGTATGTTCACTGGCACAGCTAAGGGGCACTGTCTGAACCGTGTGGAGGGCACCGCACAGCCTGATGGGGGCATGGGAGGTTGAAAATGCAGACCGCGCTTTCACAAGCTGCACCTGGACCCAGGATCTTGCTGTCTAACTGGTCTCAGAGGCCTGACTGATGTCACCGTGTGACCTGCGGGTCCTCCTGATGCCACTTAGTGTGTCCCCCGAGAAGCAACGCTAGCTGGGAACTTCAGGACAGCTGGTCCCACACTGTTCCCTTTTCAAGTCTGTCTCTAGAGTGAAAAACAAACATTCAGAGATAAAACAGCCAAAATACTCATGGTGCTGTCCAAACAGAAAACCACCCACAATAGGTGACACATCATTTGCACCCAGCTGTGTTGTGAAGTAAACACAAGCACACAGTTCCTTAGCCAACAAAAAGCAAAAAAGTAAGTGGCAAGACGAAATAGCAAGGCTGCAAATGAACTCATGTCTAAACACTCACTATCAACAGTGAAGGAAACTGGATTTCAGCAGTGCGTTCTCAGGAAGCCAGAGCAGCACCACAGCACAGCAGCGGTGGGTACTAATATGCTGACAGCCTCAGTAAGTACCTGATGCCAGGCACGGTGAAGCCCTCCTATAATCCTGGCTGCACTCTGGGAGGCTGAGGCAGGAGGATCCCAAGTTCAGACCCAGGCTGGACAACTTGGTGATATAACAAGACCCTACCTCAAAATAAAAAGATGTGGGGATGTAACTCAGACCACAAACCCTGGATTCAACTGCTGGTCCCACAAAAGAGAAACAACAACAAACAAGGGTCCTGTCTGGCACCCAGGGAAGCGGCTGCCTCCCAGAGCACCGAGATACTTTTCAGCATCCTGCAAGGCAGATGGGTAGACGGAGTCTGCAGTGATCAGTATCTACTTCCCCTCTAGGGGCTGGGAGACCTCACACCGAAGTGGTGAAACGCAGCATCCGTCACCGCACCCAGCCTTGGAACCGGCGGCTCTGGAGTCTCTGCCCAGGCTGGAAAAGGCCAGGCCGAATTGAGTGGTCAGGAGGAACTGAGCGCCAAGTTTCTCCGCTGTTTCCTGTGCGGAGCACAGCCAGACCTCGGGACTGATCCCCACCAGGGAGACAGAGCAGGGCCTGATTTCCAGAGCAGCAGTAACAGTGCTGATTTTTAAAAATGTGTTTTGGAAAATTTCTTCTCTAATGGAATGGACACACCAGCATGTGTCTGAGATACTCGCTTCCTCTACTGAGTAAGCACCCAAAAGCCCAGAACGGCTGCACACATAGCGAGCTGGCTGAGGGTTTACCCGATGGTGCCCGTGCGCTGCCGTCCTTCCGGCACCTGTGGGGCAGACGCCGCAACGGAGCAGGAGCCGATGCGCTCGCTCACTGAAATAAGCAGCACCTGGGTTGGTCCTGTTTTCCTTTCAGTCTAACCTGAAAGTTAGGGCCAAGTCTATTCCTGTTCTCGCCTTCCATACAGGACACTCGAGGGCCAACACAACTGTGACACGACCAGGGGCTGCAGCGGCCCCACCGTCTAGCAACGCTCACCATTCCACCTGTGGGGGACGAGCAGGCAGTGAACAGTGAGTTTAAAACTTACACTGATGTTAAATGTTAAGCTCCACCCCCTTTCTCCAAGCCAGTACGTTTGCCTGGTGGGGCGGCACACACCTGTGATCCCGGCACTCAGGAGGCGGAGGTGGGACGATTCCTGTGAGTTTGAGGCCTGGGCTATGTAGTGAGACCCTGGCTCAAAAAACAATAAACAGAAAAAGATAAACTAGTGTGTTTTAGTAAAACAAGGGTTTTGGCTTTTAAAAATGCTAAGTCTACCACATTAAGTGAAAAATCCATAAAATCGTTGACAACACCTCTCCTGAAATCCACAAACTTCTGTGCTTCTGTGAAGCAAATTATTTTCACTGTTCTTTAGAATCCCTTATTTGTTTAGTAAATAAGGCTAGTACTTACTACTTGAGAATGAAAGAGAAAATTTAAAACTTAAGGGTGAGACGAAGGTGTAGTAATGTGTATTTCTCCTTCAAGGCCGGGAGAGGTACCTTTCTATATCCAATCATGGCAGGGTCTTTAGCAGCCCAAACCCTGAGTCCTTTGGAGGGATCGAGGCACCTTAAGGACTCAGGCAAACCAACTCCACCCACGGCCCTTAATCACCGCCCGGCATTTCTAAGTGCCCATTGTGGGCCTGGAGAGACGAGCCATGATGACTGCCCTTGAGAGGGCTCTGATCTGGCTGCGGAGCCGGCCACGCCGAGGGCCGTGAGGGGCTGAGCAGAGCACTGCTCTCAAGGTGGCAGGGCAGGGGTACCGTTCACCCACACTCAGCAGCCCGCACACCCACGGCCTTCCCCGCCTCACCCTGTTCCTTTTCTTCAAGGGCACTTATTTTCCTTTGTGATAATATTTTTATTTGCTTGAACTTGTTTAATATTTGTCTCTCCCTTTAGGTTCTAAGTCCCTCCAAAGCTGGTGTTTGTTTTGGCTGGGATTCATTTTGTGTGGGCCGGGAACAAAGCCAGGCCCCCAGCAGCTCTCGGCACGGTGGTGGAAGGGGACCCTTTACTGAAGTGGGTTTCAACGTGGAGAGATGGACAGAGCACCCGATGGGGAAAGGTGTACGCCACGGGGAGAAGAAAACAGTGAATAAAGGACCTGACTGGAGCCAAAAAAACAGGGCACAGGACAGAGGGCAAGGCAGTCACGGGGGCCCGGCTGGTCTCTGGGCGGGGAGCCTGGACCGGCCCTGCGCAGCAGGGCACCCAGACAGGTGGTGCAGTGAGGGGTGGCAGCGAGGGACCCGGCACTACCCATCCACGCAAAGCACACCCAGCACTCCTGCTGGTTGACAGGGCTGCTCCGTGACAACAGCGCGGTGGAAAGCAACCAGGACGTTTACGTCACGCATGTCGTTTCAGCTGAGTTTACAACGCCAAGCTCGCTGGCTGTGGAAACCAGGGCAGCCAATAACAGACTGCCAGCCACATTGTCACTCGGGGGCCCCTGGTGAGCTCAGGCAGTTTTCCATCTGCCTAGACAAACAAACAGGCTGCCAGGGTTATGGACAAGGGGCTCCTGTGGCGCCAGGGACCAGGTTGTCAGCACTGCGAGTGGAGAGAGCAGACACCCAGATCCACTCTGCTCAGCACCGTGGCCCCTTCTTCCCCACGGGCTGCTCACCTGGCCCAGGAGTGAAGTCAGTGGTGAATGAAAGCAGGTAAAGGGACTCCAGGCAGGGAGCATCCTGCCATAAAACCGGGGACGAGCTCTGGGAGCGCATCTTGTTTTGGAAGTGCTGGGGGTGGAACCCAGGGCCTTTATGCTGAGCTACACTCCCAGCCCTCTTTCTTTTTAATCTTAAGATAAAGTCTTGATAAGTTGCTAGATCACACAGGCTGGGATGGTCCTGTCTCGGCCTCACTGAGTCCGAGGATTACAGATGTGTGCACCACACCTGGCTCAAAGCACCCATCTTTGAGGGTGAGCCCAACACAGGTCCAGAAAACAGCTGTGCTGTTTCTGAGGGCCAGACATCTCCAAGAAAGCCCACAATTAATTGCTCTGTTCTCCTAGAGTTCTATAAAATAGAAAGCTTGTCCCTCACTAACTGGCCAGTTAATTACTCAGCTGCCACTCTGACAGCACAGCACAAATTGAACTAAACATTAAACTTCTGTGGAACCTACACGGGACACATCCCCCTCACCCCGACCTCCCCGAAGTCCACCCAGGACCAGCGTGTCAGAGGCCGCCGACACCTGCCTCCCCGCCTGGCCTGGGGCCTGCCTGGCCAGGAAGTGTGCGGACTGCATGGGGTGAGCCGTCTGTGCAGAGAACCCACTGGGGTGTCAGAGCGAGGTGCTGAGTCCCCACTTGCCCTCTTCTCACAGACCCCTGGCCCTGCCACCTCTCTCTGAGCACTTCTCTTTCTTCCCTGGCCTCAGACTCCCGGATTTTACCCAGGCGTTGTGGTGCACATGTGATTCCGGACTTGCAAGGCTGAAGCAGGAGGGTCACGAGTATGTCAGCCTGGGTACACAGTGAGTCCAAGGCTGAATCACAGTGAGATGCCAGCTCAGAAAAGAGATTCTGGATTTGAGATTTTATTTCTACTCTGAGTACGTGACAAGCTCATGGAAATGTACTTCCTAAGATAACGACCTAGAACTCTGCCCTTCTACCTGGAACTCATCCCACCGTCCTTGCCCAGGCTGACAACAAGGACAAAGACCAAATCTGCAAAACTCTTAGAAAATAAGATCTCACTCTAGTTTGATAGCTTCAAAAATATGAATGGACATGCACACACATTTACAAAGTCACAGCTTAAGGAAAAAAAAATCGAGGCAAATACCACAAGGAAGAAAGAAGGCCCCAGTGACTAAAGGGAAAGGGAAAAGAAGATAGAGGCGCAAGTCAGATGATGAGGGTACTTCTAACGTAGCGGGTAAGTGTGGGATAGAATTTTAAAGTTCTCTTACAAGACAGGAATGGCTGGCACACACCTGTAATACCAGCACTCTGGAAGGCTGGGCAGGAGGATCATTAAGTTCCAGCCCAACCTGTTCAAACAGAGACCCTTTCTCAAAAAAGGGCCAGGGATGCAGTTCAGCACCTCTGCCCTGAGTTCAATCCCTAGTACTTCAACAAATGAAGAACTCTTCCGGCAGGAGAGGAGCCGCATGACACTACTCACATTCCCCTCCCTGCCTGGCCTTTGGCAGAAGGCCCTCCGGCCTGGCTTCCTCCCCACCGCTCGCTCATGACCTGGCTTCACTTTTCTCCTAAGCTTATGATTTACCCTGTTGCCTCTCTCTTCCCCTCTAGCTTTCTAGAAGGCCGGCTCCACCACAGCCAAGAACTTGCGTATGTTCTGGACCCTGCTGGATCCCAGCACCTAGGATAGGGCCTGGGTCAGAGCAGGTTCTCAACAACTTAGCTGGAAGAAGAAGAGCCACACTAAAAACAGACACTGCTGATTAGGTCAAAATTCCTCCTCTACTTGCCTCTTGGACACAACCGCTCAGAGAACAGGATCAGAATATATAAAGAAGTAAGTGCCACAAAGTGTTTTCTTCGGTGATTCTCAGCCATTCTATGAGCTGGAGTACAGATCAGCGTCTTCTCATCCCTTCGTCAACATCACTGTCCTCCCAGCTTTTGGATGGGTGTTAAAATTCTTCAAGAACAGCAAAGCAAAAAAGGGGAGACAAGGGAAGTTGTGCTGCTGGCAATTCTGCAAATACCACGCGATCCTTCCAAGGTGCTTGGCGGGCCCCTCCCGCGGCAGCTAAGTGGAAGCAGGCTGCGTGGAAGAGGCAGAAGCCTCTGGGGGATAAAGCAGAGAAAAACAAGGACAAAGCGGGCTGGGGAGGGCGCGCAGTAGGAAGGGCCAGCCGGTGACTGCAGCAGTAAACGAGAACAGAAAGGAAAACAAGAGGAAGGGAGGAAGGAAGTCACAGAACAGGCACAAGGCCAGGGAGGGGACGCCGAAGGGTGAGGACGCCGGTACGAATCAGAACAACCAGAACAACGGAGGCAAGAACACGGGAGAAAGGGGAGGAAGAGCAAGGTGGGGACGGCAGGGAGAAGGAAGTGGGAGAAGCTCGTGGCCCCACTCCCCAGGCAGTGGCACTGCGTCAACGCCAGGCCCTGGGGGAGGGCAGGGTGGAGGTGACCGCCCCGGGGAAGACAGTATCTCGGTCTTACACACTACCTAACAAATGGGACTTCAGCTGGGAGAAAAGCCCGACTCCCGGGCGTTCCAGGAAGCAGCTCAGAGACATTCCAGCCCGTCTGTCCCCAGAGGTGGGAGGGTCACATTCCTGCTCGGCCCAGTGGAGAGGCCTCCACAGCCTGCTTTGTTTACCGAAAGGAACAATGCCCGCTGCAGAATGTGCGCGGGATGTTCCGCGCTGGCTGTGCTGGAGCTCAGACCTCTGCTCCACTCCACATCGGTGCCTCCCTCCTCCACAGCGCCCGGCCCTCGCGGGTTAAAAGCAGCCCCGGCCTCCGCGGAGTTGAACCAATCATCGCCGCTCCTGGTGACGTCAGGCGGCTCCTGGGACAGCGCTGAGGGGCCCGGAGGAGGAAGAGGCAGGGTGGGGCTTGCCCGGAGGATGCCCGCCCCGCTGCTGCCACTTCACCTCGAGGGATTCAAGCGCCAAGGTCCCCTCTGCTACTGCTTCAGACAGAACCAGGTCGTCCCTGAAATGGCCATCCCGACCAGAGATCCTCGGCTCACACAAAATGCACACAAAGCCTGCCCTGCCTCCCACTTGTTTAATATTGATGCAAGCTGATTACAAAACACACATCTGTCACTTAAGCCTTCAGCCAAGTTTTAAAAGTCTCAAATGTTTATGCTGAGGAAACAAACAGCCTCTGTGGTTTCCCTTTCATAACTTCAAGCCTGTTCAAAGGCAGGTGTGAGAGAGACCGAGCTGATCCCTGGACTTCATACTTTTATGCCACAGCTTAAACAGTTGTTTTTCTTCTTCTTATAGTCAGCCCTCTGTATCCGAGGGTCCCGCTTCTGCAGGTTCAACCAGCTGCCGAATGAAGAATTTGGGGGAAAGAATCATCTGTATTTTATATGTAACTGATTTTTCTTGTCGATTATTCCTGAAACTAGACAGGATGGCAACCACGTATACAGCACTTCTGTTATACTGGGTATTAGGGTGGTCTAGAGATGATTTAAAGTGTACAGGAGGGTGTGCGGGTCATACACAAAGGGTAGGAGACTTCACACTGGTCCCTGGGGAGGACACCACAAGGCCGCTCATCCGGATGTTAACTGCTGGTGCTGTGTGTGTGTGTGTGTGTGTGTGTGTGTGTGTGACTGCGGGTGCATCTAAGTGTACACGAAACGGGGAAAATACACTGAAGGAGATTTGAATCAGAGAGCACACAGCTGAAAAGCTGACGGTACTGCCCACCTGCTGCGAGGAGAATGGGCCTTTCTTTCCTACAGCCTGAAGTGGGGAAAGTTTCAGGCCGGGATGAATTTCTCCTGCCTCCCAGTGCCCTGCACATCCAGGCCTGCTAAAGCACGGGGCCACGGACGGCTTGCTCAGAGGCACGAGAACCTGGATTCCCAGAGGGAAAGCAGGCCCGGCCGACTGGGCAGCCGAAGCAGCTTGAGAACCCAGCCACTCACGTGGGCAGTTTTGGGCAGAGGCAGGGAGAAGCCCCAACCTGCCAGGGCTGAGAGAAGAGCTGTTTGGAAGAATCAGGGCAGGGCAGCTGTGGAAGACAACCCTCCCGGAGAGGTAGCCCTCAGTGGAGGGACCCAGCTGCTCCAGCACCCCTAGCAACGCAGGACACAGGCAGGCAGAGGTGGAGAGGGGCTGGGTGAGAGGCAGGGGGAGGTGTTGAAACAGCAAGCCAGCCACCTCCAGATGAAGCACGCACACGGAGTCCAGACCTTTCCGAATGAAGTTTGAGGCCAGGTCCTACGAGTGCAGCCATGGTTAAGACATTCACAACATTCACCAATCAGGTCAGAAAAGCAAGTACAGATTAGTAAATACACTAGGACTCCAAACTCGGATGCGGATTTCCCTACTCCTATCCCCCACTCCTCAGTTTAACTTCGGGGCCCCAGAGAGCAAGACAGCACCTAGCTCCGACTTGGTGGAGAGCCCTGCTGGAGCTGGTGAGCTCCATTAAAAGGCAAACTCTGTTGCTTCTTTGTTACCAAAACAATAATAGAAAATAAGACTCCTAGAGGAGTCTGCTCTCAGAGGTTACTTTACTTAACGCGGCCTTCTGAGGTCACTGTGTCCAAGGCAATTCATCCAGGACTCCATTAGCCGTCAGTAAGGAGCAGGGACTCGAGTCCAGGAGCTACGTGCCCTCAGCTAGACTGTGCTCCACCAACCAACCAACCGAATAGCTGCTGGCTCCCATCATGGAGAACAACAGCATGCTCGGAAATAACCATACAGAGGACTTCAGATTTCTCTCCAACCTCTCTCCTTCCCACAGAGAATGAGGCCAAAAGGCTCATTAAGTTTTGAGACCACCAGGCTAGGTGGGCCCTTCTTAGGTGGCGCAGGGCCATGCAGGAAGACCACGAAGGGCCTCCCAGGCCACTGCAAGAGTTCTCCTTTCCTAAACTGAGTATGATAGAGTGCGCCTGTGATCCCAGCACTTGGGAGGCTGAGGCAGAAGGATCACCACAACTTGGAGGCCAGCCTGGGCTACATAGTGAGATGCTGTCTCAAAAAACAAAAAGAGGCCTCACAAGCGCAAGGTCCTGAGTTTGATCCCTGCTACCAAAAAAAAAAAAAAAAAAAAAGTTCTCCTTTCCTACATGCCTTGGTCCCATTCAGCAAAGCTCCAGACACAGGTAGAATGTCATTAGCTGCCACTGAGCCAACACGAAGTATTCCAGGACTGTGCTAGGTACTTACCGTCTCCTACGGGTCAGCAGTCCCAAACAGATCTGTCTGATCATGAAGAAGGATGACAACCCTGAGGCTTAGCAAGCCCGTGCCAGTGTGCAACAAGGAGTCCCAGCATGACTACGCTGTGCAGGGATCACAGCCGCCCAACAGCCTCCCCTCCCTCGCCCGGCCTTGCAGCCAGGAGCCGAGGTGGGCTCCTTCCGCACAGCTTTCCCTGCCTCCCAGAGACTGGAGATCCAAGGTTAAAGAGGAAGTCAGCAAGCACGACAAGGCAGCCTTCAGCACCAGGCAGGGTCGGGGTGGGGCGGGGCACGGCCATCAGCCAAGGCCCATTCTAGGAAAGGCTACCGGAGCCAGGTGGAAGGCGCGTGCGAGGTGCCTCTTTAGATGGAGACCTGCAAGAGCCATACCCGCTGGCTCACACTTGCCTAGCACCCCAGGCCCTGGGTTCAATCCCCAGTACTAAAAAAAAGCTGAAAGTTACACAAGAGGCCCTGTGGATATCTCCCATGCCAGATGGAGATGGGTGCAGCTCAGTAGTACAGCATTCCGAACCACCACGAAGGACAAAGCCACAGACAGCCGGCCTGAGTCCACAGGGCCCACCCACTTCAGCAGGTGCACTTTGCCTCAGTGGTCTCATTCTCTCTCCGGGAAGGAGCGGAAGCCCATGAGGCTGCCTGGCCCCACAGCAGGATGGCTCCCCAGTGCCCTGGGTTCCTAGGGAGGGAAGCTGCCTTCCCGCACCGAGGACGGAGCTGGGGCCTGGCCAGCGACCGACTGCTCTGGTGGTTCAGGCCCTGCTCACTGCGGGTCTGCGCTGCCTTCCCCTCTGCACACCCAGCCCCACACCGGAAACAAGGCTGCACTCACCCAGCTCCACACCTTTGCCCCACACCTCCTCGCTCTCCTTGCCCTGCAGTTTCTGTCTGGTTTGGACCACACAGGAATCTCTGCTCCAGTCAAATCCCACCTCTCGGGTCTTCTCTCCCGCACCTACCCGCCCTCTCCTCCCATTACAGAGCTGTTTCCATCCCGCATTCTGCTGGGTGCCAGGCGAGTCCAGGGCCGGCACAGGCCTGGCAAGCACTCTACCACCGAGCTGCATCACCAGTGAGACAGGGCCTCTCTCACTAAACTGCCCAGGCTGGTCTTGAACTTGAGGTCCTCCTGCCTCGCCTCCCTCCTAGCTGGGATCACAAGCATGGACCACCACACGAGCTTCTGTTCTGCTCTCAAACAGCCTTACCCTACATCTAACTATAAATTGCTAAAGCTGTTGCAAAAAACACACATACTGCTGTGTAGTCTCTCCTAGGGAACCCCAAGAACGCCCTCACTCAGAGTCTTCATTAGTGGCCAGGGCCCCGTACAGATTCCCTCAGACTCTGCTTCTAAGCGGTGAAACCTCTCTGCGCAGGTTTCCCTGTCTCTGACCAACATGGTCCCCAGTCTCCTCATCTGGAGAGAACAGCACTGAAGGACCTGTCCCCACCCTGTCCCCACCCTGGGAGTGGGCTGGCTGTGCTTCACACAACTCCACAGCTGCAGCCCAGGAGGGCTGGGCAGGCACGCGGTCCGCAGAGCGCTCAAGTGGACGCGGCAACTGTGCGCTCCCCTCTGCCAAGACCTAAATCCACCCGCGAGGTGGCTCCTGGGTCAGCCTGCGCGCCAGGCAAGAGGCCGGCGAGGGTGGTGGCCCCTCTCTCAGGAGCGCATTCTTCCGCCCGGTCAGAATGCCGCGGGTCTCGAGAAGCACCCTGGCGCCTTTCCAGCCCCTCTGTCACAATGTAAGGCTGTGAAGGTTTTCTCCTGGCCAATGCTTCGCTGACTGCTGGAGCCCCAAGCTCTCTGCCTTAGCAGCCTGGGGTGCGGGACAGGCAGGGCGCCTCTGTGGGGAGAGGCAGCCCCGCAGGAATAAGCAGGAGGCGCTGGGAATAGAACAGCCCCCTGCGGCACCCCCTGGCAGCTCCTGCTGCTCCCAGGCCTTCCTCGCATCTCCAGGCTCCGCAGCCTGCCGTGCCTTTGGTGCTGCCCCTCCTCAGTCAGCCCTGCTCTGCTGGCCGCCAGCTGTGGCCCTGGTCCCTGGGCCCGCCTCCCCACAGGCACAGGCGCAGTCCCACGGCGAGGACCCAGGCAACCCCAGATCCAGGGCTTCGACAGGGGAGCTCATGCGGCCTTACCTCGTCCCACTCAGAGGCGAAGGAGGGCGCCTTCTCCAGCCTCTTCTTCCCGATGCTACAGCTGGACAGGGACTCGCTTCGGCTGCCCATCGGCGCGTCCTCCGTGGGCGAGCAGGCCAGCAGATCAGAGTCAGACTTGGACAGGCTGCGGCTGAGTCTGAGCTCGGCTCTGGGTCTGCTGGTGGGAGGGGCTCGGCTCCTGGCCCCGCTCCGGGCTCCTTCTTCCTCGGCACCAGCAGGGTGCGGGGGCGCAGGGTGAGTCACGGTTTCGGGGTGCAACTGGCCGCTGGCAGAGGGCAGGCCTGCCGGGTAGCCTGTGGTCCTGCTCTGGTCCAGGCTGCTGGGCTGCGAGATGCCGGCAGGGTGTACGCCTGACTCCCCCGGCTGCATGCTGGCCTCGTGGCAGGCAGCCTGCGCCGGGGACCCGTCTGGGTGGCTCTGGCCTGCGGCAGACAGCAGCTGGAAAGGGTCCTGCCCCACCTCGCACACCGGGGAGGAGCCGTGGAGGAGACCTGAGAACTGCTCTGGGACCTGCCCGTCCTGCCCCTCCACAGAGTCCTGGCTCCGGCCGCCGCCGCTCTGCCTGTGGTCTTGGAGTGGACAGAGAGAAATAAAAAATTAAACGTGGCAAACATCAACAAAGTTCCAATGCAGCGAGCATACGGCAGAGCAGAAGAATTCAAAGACAGGGGAAGAGAGAGAAGCTGGACAGGCTGGGGAGGGGACAGAGGGAGAGGAGAAGAGAGGGGAAGGAAGAAAACAGCTTCATATTGTTCTTGACGCTCAGCTTGTACCCAAAGCCAGAGCATTTATGAAACTCCAAACACTGGCCCGATTAACGCTGTCTGGCAGTGCTCCTGCCATTAAGGGTTCTGTTAACGTTAAAAACCAGACCTGGCTATATAAGGCCATGAGAAGTGCTAACTAACCGCGTCCTAAGGAAAGGACACAGGAGGACAGCAAGGGACAGAAGGTGAGGAAAACAGAGGGACAGAGAGAGAGAAGGTGAGGGAGCTCAGGCAGGCACCAGCGAGCGAGCAAGCAAGCGGCAGCAGGCGGGCCTGGCTCTGGAACATCTGATGAATTTCCATAAAGGCCAGAGTGTTATTTAGAGCACTGCCCGCCCTTCCTCCGGCAAGCAGCGACAGAGAAGAAAACAGAGGTCATGATCCCCAACCTGTGACTCCTGGAATTCCTCTCAACTCAAAGTGCAAAACCCAAGGGCAGAGAAGTAACTGCTTCCTTCCAGGGGCCACGCGGAGCTCCACACCTCACCCTTCCTTCCGCTGGGAACACAGGCTTTTCTTTTTCTCTTTCTTGTTTTAAAGACTATGCGCATCTCACTCCTGCCAAAGCCTCCAGCTGTTCATGTTTGTTTAAGTCTAACCTTAGTTGATCTTCTGAAGAAGAAATGGTCTAGTTTGTCACTGCCAGGGGACATGTGCAGCTCTCCCAGGCCTCCCTGACATCCTAGAAATCTGACACTGCCGGCTCACCAGGCCAGCTACCACTTTACACCCCAAACCTCTGCCCCGGAGCAGCACAAATAACTGGCAGAACCAGGTTCTCACCAGACACCCTGGGGCTTCCCCGCGGGAACTGAGTCCCAGAAACTTTCACCCAGGTCGCAGGGCAGGCCCCACTCTGCCTGACTCAGTCAGCTCCAGAGCCAACGTCCACACTTCCCCTCGGCTGCCTGCATCTGTGGGCGAGCGCCAAACCACTCCCTACCAGCCCATGGCGCCCAAAAGCTACTCAGGAGACCAGAGAACCTTAGAACCAAAAGGCTCAAGTCCAAATACATGTATTTTTGTTTGTTTTTGACTTTTTTAGACAGGGTCTCGCTTTGTAGTCCAGGCTGGGCTTGAGCTCACAACGATCCTCCTGTTGCAGTTTCCTGCATGCTGGGATTACAGGCCTGCACCACCACGTCCAGCTGAGTTCAAATACTTTTACAGATGAGGAATCTAAGGCCTGCAGGCCTACAGTTGTTTGTCCAATGCGGTGGGGAGAAGACTCTGACCCAGGAGCCAGGAGATCTGGCTCCAGCCCCACTGTGCTGCTCTCCAGCTATGTGACCTGGGCAGTGCTGCCTTTACCTTTTCAGACCTGCACACCTGAAACCAGGACTGGACTGCACATTCCTTAAATGCCCTTTAAGAGTCCTGTCCCTACCGTGTGGCAGTGGCAACTCACCCCTCTCGGGGTACAGGGCCTTGCCTGGCACCACACCTGCTGCCGCCAGCATACCCCAGTCTCCACCGTCATCAGCCCCAAAGCCCAGGCCTCTTCCGGAAGCTCGGGCAGGGGAAGCGGGCACAGGAGGGGTGGCATGCTGTCAACTGGTGCTCCAGGGCCCCGCTCCTCCCAGGCTCCACCTGCCCTATCTGTGGAGTTCGGGGTCGGCAGCTGCTCAGCCCAGCTCTCAGGTCTGCAAAGGGTACCGGAGGGTTTGCTTCTGACTCTGACTGCTCAGCCCGCAGAGCTCAGAGCATGGACTTTGCTGCTTCTCCTCCACCTCTGACCACTTCGGAACTCTCACAGTTCCACCTATAAATCCTACATCCCAGAGCTCAGGCTGTGAGCAACACACAAGCACTGGCAACCCAATCACGTCTGGGGAAGAAGACATACTGAGCGTCTGCCTGGCCCCAGGAGCCATGGCCTCACAGCTCCTGACACCTGCAGGGCAGGCGCAGCGCCCACCACTTAGAGACCCCATCTCTGGCACTGACAACAATGACGCCCAGGGGTGCAGCTCAGTCCCCAGCGCCACAAAACAAATAAACAAATAGCAGCCGGCAGTCAGAACGAAGCTGCTCACGGCATGTTGGGGCCACAGAGCGGGCACCATGTGACCGACCAGCCACCTAATAGTCAGCCAACAGCTCTCCCTCAGACCAAATGAGGAAGACAACCAGGCGGTACAATGCGCCACTGCTGGGAAAAATATGATGTTTTTCATTTGTTTTTGGTGATACCAGGGGTTGAACCCAGAGCCTTTGCACTGAACTTATCCCCAGCCCTTATTTTTAATTCTGAGACAGGGCATTGCTGGCCTTGAACTTGTGAGCCTCCTGCCTAGCCTCCCAGACTGCTGGGATTACAGATGTGCACCGCCGTATCTGGCTTCATTCTGGGGCTGTGCTCAAAGGGCCAACAGTCTAATGACCACACTTGAGTGTAAGAAGAGGATGCTGGAAAGAGGAATGCAGATTCTCCTGTACATCAGCTCTAAGTCTGGGCTGGGGTGGGGTGGGCAGGCCAGACACCAGGACAGAAACCGCACTGCCCGCCCAGAGGTGGGAGTCTGTCTGCTTGCCCTGCCTGGGTGGACTTGGAACCCAGGCCACAGGGAATGTTCCGCTTGCTGCCATGGGCGCCGACAATGAGGGCCCTGTCACACAGCCACCATTCATGCCAGTCCTCAATGAAGAAAGAGAGGCCGATGCCAAGAACTCAACACTGCTCCATGCCGGGGAAGGAAGTGGGCAGAAAGAAGAAACAGAAACTTACGGAGGAAGGAGCTCCACGGAGAGAGAACTGCCAAGGCTCAGAATCCCACCCCAGAAGCCACAGCCCACCCACACATCGCCGCTGTAAGAAGTCCCCGAAGGGAGTCTGTGCAGGGCCTTCCCAGGACTCCGGGACCCCAAAGGCTCGTCATGCTCTAGGAACCTCAGGATCTTAACCCGGGTGCTCATTCCCCAGAACACTGCATGGAAAGCTAAGCCAGGTTTCCCGGCAAATCACAGAGTGGGAAAAGAACTTGATGGTTTCTACTCCACAAACTCGGGATGCTAACAAGGTCCTTAGGGATGAGCCAGGGACAGTGTAACACTCAGCAGACGTCGAACGCAATCCCTGCACGTCTCTGTGCCTTACTCTTCTCACCTGTGGTTCTGGAGTCTTAATGGCAGTGACTTCATAGGGTTATTGTGAGAACTAAACTGTGCTTGCAGAGCACTGAGAACCAAGCCAGGCACAGGCCAGCTCTTAGCAGACCTTAAACTGTTCCCGTCCACCCACAGGCCCTGTCGCAACTCTCACAGGTGACAGCAGAGACTTCTCCACTCCTCGCAGGCCTGTCACATGGCCCGAAGATATAAAGCACCTCACAAGCACTCACGGACTTCATCACCCTTACAACCTTTTTTTTTTTTTATTCCCTCCTCACAAGCCCTCACGGACTTCATCCCCCTTACAACCTTTTTTTTTTTTTTTTAGTCCCGGGGATCAAACTCGGGACCTTGCGCTTGTGAGAGAGGTGGTGGATCCACTGAGCTAAATCCCTGGCCCACCCTTACAACTTTTGAAGGCAGAAAGAAAGGCCAGAAGATAATGGAATGGAGGATGGAAATGAAAAACTCTTAGACAGGCCCTACAGAGTCATAAGGGGGCACCAGGTGATATAAGGATGAAGACGCCAATCCTGCCTCTGAGCTCACCAGCTGCTGAGAGAGGCCGGTGTGGTCAGAAATAATTAGATGGCAAAAACTAACAGATGCTTTAAGAAAGGCTGGTCATGGTGGCATATGGTTGTAATCCTAGAACTCTGGGGGGAGGCTGAGGCAAGAGGATTCCAAGTTTGAGCACAGCCTGGGCTGTATGCTGAGTTCAAGGTCAACTTGGACTACAGAGTCATCTCAAAAACAGAAAACCGTTAGCAACAAAGGCAGAGACACAGCTCACAGCTGTGATTGTTGGGCCCCACCCATCCCGTGCCCTCCACACATCAAGGCCACCAATCTCTGGAAATCTCTGCCACACGCTCACTTCGAGTTCCGTCAACCCGGCTTTATCATTCTGGGTGTTCACCTCCTTTCACCCCGTGAGCTGCCGAAGCAAGGGTCCTCTGAGCTGCATTTTAATTACTGCAACGGTCCACAGAGATCTCAAGGGCTTTCGAATAATAACATTTAGCATTTGCACGTTTCCAGTCACTTCTGCCCAGTTGGATGAGGGCTGCATAATGCAGCTCAAAGGAGGGGCTCCCTGCTCAAATCAATCCTCAGGCCTGGCTCCCAGGCTCCTCTGCTTTCTTTTTGCCATTTTTTTTTTTTTTTCTTTCCCTGAGTCAGGGTCTTGCCTATGTAGTTCAGACTGTCCTTGAACTCACTATGTAGCTCAGGCTGGCCTCAAACTTGCAGTGATCCTCCTGCCTCAGCCTCCGGAGCAACGATATCACAGGCGTGCACCACCACATCCGGCTTGCTCTACTTTATTCCTCTAGGATGGCCCTGTGGCTGCTGTTCTGTGGTGAGCATCAGAAACCATGCCTGTCCAGGGAGACGACCAGGTGCATGGCTATTTCAGAGATCATTGTGCTCTCCCCAGGAGGAAGCACAGACGAGGGGAGGCAGGCTGCTGGTAACTGATGTCTGGTCTGCCCGACAGACAGCAACCTGAGAAGTAAAACAAGGGCTGGACCAGGGCCCGAGAGACCTGAGTTGTGGCCCCAGCCCTGTGACTTTTCCTCTCTGAGGTACCTGGCTGGCCGGGATGCAAGACCTAGGCTCTGAGACTTGGCACGGGCTGATGCCATGGCTCTCCACAGTCCCTGCAGCTCGGTGGCGCTAGGAACGTGATG